TTTGACATATCTCATTTTTCGGGGAAATCTATCGATTGGAGCAATAAAAAAAACCCTCTACGAACAAAAGTTGTAGTTACGCCACTGGATTGATATCTAAGGATACGAGGTGAAATTGAATTTTATAACGATGGAAACATATAGAAACCGTATGCGATGTACATAGAATGTAAGTAACTGGTGAAGAAAAAAAACCAGTTTCATCACGTCTGAAAATGGTAAAGATGAATAAATGCAAAATTCATTCGTGTGCAATTGAATGCGCGTGCAGAAAGTAAAAAGTTCGAGTGCTGTCGAAAAAGTGGAAACATCTAGACAATTCGATGTTTATTCTGCTTTGAATTATACTTTATTGTTTATTTCCATTTTCAATTTTAACGATAGAGGATGAGTTGTTGTTGTCCCTATGGCTGGATGCTTCATCTCTATTCTATTATCTGTGTTGCATTGAATGCAAGTTTTCCGGTAAATGCTGATTCCGTACAGAGATGATTAGAAAAATTGTGGGAGTGAATTTAAAATTAAACTTGCTATCGAATTACTCCGTAGACTTCGAAAATTGGCATATCCATTGGAAATGCCTTGAGCTGAAATTTCTTGAGAAAACCAACGAGTCAGTTGGTGTTCCATCTCCATTGCTTCGTTTTTGTTGTTACTGCTGTTTGCACCTCATTATGAACCACTGAAAAAAATAGAGAGAGAGGGAGGGAGAACAATGAAGATGGCAAATTATTATTCCGTCGTTTGTTTGATTTTGTAATCAAGTGATTGATTCTATTTAAAACTGATCATTATAAATTGAACGATTATTTGTTAACGAGAGTTTACACACAACGTAAATTGATCTAATTCTAGTAGGGCAAGGTGGGTAAATTCGGAACACACATCGAAATAATTTAATAACATTCTAAAAAATTAACATTTTTCCAAATTCTAAAGTGGTACGACTTGGTAAATGTAAAAACCTAACTTTTGGACCTTGCCGCTTGTTGAAATTCGAGTCGGTTGAAAAAATGTACCCTGTTGGCAAAAAACCCTTGATTTTGCGATTTTCAAAAATGGTGGGGAAATTCGGAACACTCCATAAATGGATAGAAAACTGAAACAATTTTGATGCAAAACGTTTATGGAGAACTAGGAAAAGGCAGAAGAATTATTTTGATGAGGAAAAAGTTCAAAAATAGCGATTGTTGTTAGTCGGATTTGTAATAGTTGCGTGTGAAATAGCTACCAATCATTTTGGTGCATTTCAAGTGGACAGCTCGATCGCATGAATTGCAATGAGTAATTTGTCAAAATTTTGCATGAAATATATAATATAAGGCGTTCCGAAATTCTCCACTCACTAAGGCTTACAACATAATCGTGTTTCCGTCACTCAATGAATTTTTATGCAAAATTCCTTTTGTGAACGATGACAGTTGTTCACATGTCTTAAACTATTCATTGGCGGCGAAATTTGGCGGTGTTCCGAATTTCCCCACGTTCCGAATTACCCAACCTTCCCTTAATATATATTTTAGACTGAAGATCTTCAATCAATGAATCGTTCGCCTCAATCAAACGAAAATATATATGAACGAAGAAGAAAACACAAATTATTTTCATCGCTTAAAACTTACTCATTTGTGGACCGCCCATCATCTGGTGTTGTTGCATCATTTGCGTGTGGCGGCTGTTGAACGTCAAAGTCATTTGAGGCGACGCGAGCGCCCCCAATTTCAAAGGGCACATCAATGTAATTTAACATTTCAAATCGCAACTAAACAGCGCGCCAATTCGAAATATAGGAAAATATAGTGTCAACAGCCGCACCATGATCATTTGATGGAATTGTTGCGCTTGTTGAGCTTGCTGAAACTGTTG